CGATCAAAAGAGGCACTGAGAGTAGTGCCAGACAACATTTTGACAGCATATGTACCACCAAATGGTACTTGATAATGTGCCAAACAAATTAATGGGGCCCAAATCCCTTGTGATTTCTGAAGCTTATCTATTCTAACTTCTAAGCATATACCACCTTACTCATCCCAATGGAGCTTAAAATGTCAACGGACCATTAATTTGTTGAGGATGATACAATTATACAATGTTCTACTGTAGAATGGAACAACTTAACAACAATTGTATACGTACGATGCATGAAATTCACCTTTTTCACATAAAATACAACAAAAATTACAAAAAAAAAAAAAAACCAGAAGGCCTTTATATGTTATTAATTATATAATCCGTTGGGAATAGTGAAAACCAGATCGAACCATTATAACCAATTTGATTGGTTTGGTTCTGTTGCATAGACCCAACCCATTGACAGTTTGACAGTTCTAGCCAAAGGCCCAAAGCCAAGTGACCATCTCAGCTATAGCTATAGGGTCATTGGCCCAGTGGGCCAGTTTTGGACAAAGAGAGAACAGAAAAATTGACCCATGTCATGTAGGTAAGGAGTGCATCACATGCCAATTATGGCACAGAGTCCCCACCTCACATGCAAGCAACATGGTATTGTTATTGTCATGATCTTGCCCGTGAATCACCAATATAATCATCGCTCCTTCTACCTTGTATGCCATGCAGCAGCTCATACCAATGCTACATCATTCCTCATGAAGATGTTGATTGCTTGCTTTGGGAGGAATTTTTTTTACACAGGCACAACATTAATATCTCAAGAACGTGTTGATTGCTTGCTTTGGGGGGAGTTTGTTGACACAGGCACACGGAGCAATGCTTGGAAGGAGAGTCAGATGGGGGAATTGACAAGGGATGGAGCCAAGGGGACCCATGGGATCCATGACTAGAGGTGTAAATGGGTTGTGCTCCTGCAGCTCGGCATCGCACGATGGTACGTGGGCTGTGTCAGGCCCGATACGATGGTTCGGCCCATGCTGGGCCTGGGGTTTCAGTTCCACGTGTCGGTATAGCACGATACAACTTGTTGTGCCACGGCCACACTCAGCTCCTGATGAATTAGCCATTGG